TATTCTTAACAGAATTGCTTTATTTTTGTTATCTATCCTTTTCATGACATTTTCAGGATCACTATTAACAAATGATAAAATTTACAGCGGACTATTTAGGGTTCTTAAAGACAGGTCAGATTTTCTTAGCATTTCTAAAAATATAAAGTGTTTTGCTCTGAAGTATTAGTAGCCATGTCATTATCTTTTTACAACCTAAGAAACAGCAAGGTTCAGTGCACGCAAATACTCAATACATTCCTTTTATATAATGATTAACATGGCGTACATTTCCCATTTAACTTGTTTACAAATGTCAAAAAGCTAACCACAGCTTGAAGTCTTAACGTTTCAAAAGGACATCATTCAGAAGGCCCGAAAGCACACCTCTAGTGCGTAAACCACTGTCGCCAAACGGTCGGAGGCAAAGACATTTTTAGACCATGCGTTGTGACGACAATTATTCCAATTAAAAGGCTTTTCCTCACGAAGCCAACACTTTGAACATTAATGATATTTAACCTTTTAACTGAATGAATGTTCATCTGATGTGCGGATTGTCATATCCAGAGAAAAACGACATTGATTTTACGACAATAACACCCTCCTTTAAACCGTTTACGGCTAATGGTGATTTCGGGATTCGGACTTGTCATGACAACCGTTATCAAATCAGAAAACAGAGATCCATGGTTACTGACACTATTCTATGAAATTGACAGCAGATTTACTTCTCTAGCATTTTACATCACTTCGGTGACAACTTAATCTAAAGCATCTTGTATGGCTAAGCACATAATCTCATGGTTCTAAGTAATTTATCATCCTCCACGTTACTGTGTGAAATTGGGGTTCTAACCTAAGCAGAAACAAAAATACATATAAATCACTCTATAGTACTCTTAATTAAAAGAATCTTATCCAAATGCATGTATTTGTCTTCAAATTCACAATATATATTTCACCAAAAAAAAAAAATGTTAAATTACGAATTTCACTTCAGTAGAAAGTGAAAATTTGATTATTTACGCACAAAAAAGCACACTTTTTCATGTCTCTGGGCATTATTCCATATACAAACGGCTGTATTGGTATATTGTAGTATAACTTTTATAAGTATTTTTAACATTCTAAAATTATTTTTTTATGTTCTGTTAGGTTTAACTTTACTAGAATTATTATTATCTCCTATTTTTGTATCAATTGATTGTTTTGGCATTTTAGTTTACTGAACTATTATGCACTTAATGCCATGACAACATATGACCACCGCTAACATGCCATATTCCTGTATAATTGAACATATTCATGGTACAGATATAAGAGATCCATAAAGAGATCATCGCATTTTTTGTATACCTCTTTTTGAGCTATAGATAATGATTTCTTCAAGGTACATCTTAATATCCATGTAACAATTGTTTTTCCAAAGAAGTTTGATTCTTGTATGAATTTGTACATTAGCTTCCAGTCTCCTAAACACCATATATGTAAGGTAAAATATTTACAAAAAGATATTTTTAAACAATCGTAAATGAAGCATTCGATAACATGAAAATGTGGCGCTAAAGAACAGCAATCAAGTTCAAATGCCCATAGAAACAATACTATTCGGGAGTAGAGCAAACAAAAACCTCGAAAACATCGGAGATGGGGTCAGGTGCCATGGAGGATTAAGCGACTACTATCAAAGGGTCACTCCTGCCGTACCAACCTCCTTCCCCCCGCCACGACAGGGCAAACAAAAACACCCACAAACAATCTATTGTGTAAATAATGGTTTCACAATTTGTATGAAAACATCAGTCAGCATTCGACCGAATGCTAGATTGTAGTTGCTGACAAGGTATTTATATCGTCTTCCGAAATACTGGCTTTAAGCGGAACTGATGGTATCCTTATTTCATCAATTATCTCAATAGCCTGTCTCGTTTTAAAAACTGTTTGTATACTGAAAGCTCTTGCGGATCGAATCAACTGACCAAAAAACTCATTTGCAGTTGATAAATAAGGGGATATTGCTATATAGTAAGGGAAGGTGGCGATAGAGAGACTGAAGTCATCAGGTTTATCAACAAGTTTTGTTGCTAGGTCTTTTTCTAGTAAAAAAAAATGTAGATATGAAACAAATGTATCAGACTCTGTGGTATATTTAATTCTTTCAAGCTCATAAGGATAAATTGAGCAGACGTAAGAATGGAAGTAGCTATTGTTAATTGATAAAACGTCATCGTTTCATGATCTATATGTCGAGCTGAAGTCCCAACGAATATTTTCTTCTCATGTAACGCTTTTTGAATAAATTCTTCCTTATACTTGTAATATGAGCACAAAAATAGGTTTCTTTATAACAGGATGTAATTGGTAGCCAAGGAAATTCTGATAAAATGTTGGAAAGCTTGATCTTCAAAAATTACATACATGTAGATATTTGCAAGCATTAACTCATTTGCTGGATCGGTACTAGTGTATATGATATGCCATTATTTCCAAAACAGTGGAATTGACAAATGCCTTGGTATCATGAAAAGACCCTTGAATGACCTTGTCCAAAAACCAATTTCCAGCTGTGCACTGCGCACCATTTTTGCCCAGATATGAAACTCTTGCTCACTAAAGGTGCATGGTCTGTGAGGTTGCCAAAGGAGTAGTCCCCCAGTTATAAATCTAATAACAAACAAACAGTCATTGACTATCATATCGCCTAGTAATCATCTGGTGCCTTAGTGTCCATACCAAACTCACTCAACTTCCGGTTGACCCAGTTTTGTGGAACAGTTTTCAAATTATTGTTTGCTGCTAACTTAATCCTGTGGCTTTATATAGTAAACATTTTTATGTTTGTTAATCTATTTGCAACAATTTTTCATGAGTGGAATTCATAAGCTATTAATTCATTTTTTTTTTCATTTTTACAGATTTCTCTAAAGGAATCCCCTGCAGACGCCATACTGTCTGCTTAGCACACTCTTCTAGCGTCTAACGCCGCATACGGTGTAACTTTTTTTCTGAGTTTTTAATTAGTACAAATGTAAAGAATACAAATACAAAGAAAAAATTTAACTTTTTTCCTTCGAAAATGGAATGGACACAATTTAATTTTTTTCTATGAATTGTTTCCACTCCAGTAAACATTGTAGTTATTTATATGGTTTGACATAAAAACGCATTATTTTTCATTATAATAACATATTTATATATCAAATACATCATAAACAGGTTTTTAACAGTAAAATATCAAATCTCTTAGGTGGTGCGTTAGCAATTTTGTCTAGTGTATATGAAGATAACGAACTATAATCATGCTCAATAGTCCATAAAACAAAACAAATGTATGGAGCAGAGCAAACATGGACCTCTAAAACATCAGCGGTGGGATAAGTTGCCATGGAAAAAAAACACCCCTGTCGACTTGACACACCAGTGCTCCTTGCAATGATCCCGCAAATGGGAAACCCACAGATAATTCAGTGTAAATGTTTATGAAAAACGTCAGTCAACCTTCGCCTTAATGAAAGATTGTATTTGCTGACAAGGTCATAGCTCATATTTTGGGAATAGAAAATAGCTACAATTCAATAAGTGTGCATAACTGAGTGTTTTATAGCACTGAATTTGCAAACAGTAATTATTTAACAAAATCATTATTAAATTCAAAAGTACAGCAACTTTTTAAAAGTATTTAGAAAGCTATATCCGTAAAGTTTAAGTTTTGTAATATCTGTTTTGCATTGCAGAGGAATATTATTGTCATGCACTAAGACGTTGATAAGAAAACACAAAGAAATCAAATTTATTTTACTTAACGGATCTTTTGTTTTTCGTATATCTTGAATATATAAGATAGTGGATAGTTGTGTATCATTACTAGTTAAATACTGACTTATTTCATGGGATGGGAATTGAAGGTATATAGTCATTTTTACAACTGTGTTAATTCAGATTGTCTAAACAAATTATATTTTTTGTTTAAACTCAAAAGAAAACTTATTTCGGGTAAGAAGATGATGAATGCATAACTTAAAGATATTGCTCCAAATCTTGGTACCTTTCGGAATATTTTACCGAGTGCATGTATGAAAAGGGCACAATTTTAACTTGAGTCATAATATACGACAAAACACAGATCAATAAATGGTATCTGGCAGTCTGTAGCAGGTAAATTAAAAATGATCAAGTCCGGAGTATCAAAGCTAACATATAATTGGAAATCTTCGGCTGCGAATTATTTTTCTGTTGAAATATAATAATCACAACCACGTGGTTTAAGCCTTTTTGCTAACCCAAGGCTAATCGCCCCGGCTCTGTGTTTTGCTTGTTAGCACGTTAATTATATTTATTGCGATAAAGCTTCATTAGGAATTATTCGCCATTTCAAGACTCAAAGACAAAAGAGCTGTGAGCATCTGTGACTGATTGCTCGTTCCTGTGGCAGTTAATCCGGAATACGGACACTTGACGTGCAATAGAGTCGTGAGGTCGTGATAAGAATTATTGTCATTCCATAGTTTGGGATCATTCTAAAGATTAAGATGTTTTATCGCCCGGATGCCACGAAATAACCTTGTGTTTAAGTTCACACAAATTCCCAGATCAAATTTTCCTGTTTGATTAGCGGAAAACGGTGTGTTTCTTGAGAGACAACCGTAGGAATCAAAAACAGCGAACAGTGCTGCTGTAATCGTAAATGTCTTCGTCGCAGGACTTTTCAATAATGGACTGCTTGTTTTTTGTAGATATGAAAAGCGTCACGGCGGTATGATCGGTCAGGATCCGTAAATTATCTTATAAGAATATGCTTGTGCACTGAAAAATGTCAATAACAGGGTTATAAATTATTTTATTTCTTACCGAGTCACAGGATAAAACGCGAAATGCTTTGACATTAAACTGTACTAACATAATTAACGTAAGAATGGGTGAAGTGGTTTCTAAGATATCCACGTATCTTCCATTCAGGGATAATGTACCTGTTAATTCTAATTCAAATAATCTCCAAGATTCTGTTTCTTCTTCCGCAGACAAAATTCAGAAGGAAAAAGAGAAACCAAGTGACACAAGGACGCTAGTGATGCCTGCAATGCGCAGGCGTCAGTCGGAACAAACAACTTTTGTGGTGCCACGTATATATGTGGATTATGGAAGTCGTAGAACTTCTTATGCTTCAGATTATTTTCGGAGATCGTCAGGTGAAAGTGGAAGTAGCAGAAGGACTTCTTGTGCTTCTTCCCTAGCATCTATGGACGATAGAAGAGGTTCCGGAAGTAGTATAAGTAGCAGAAGAACCTCTGCAGCTTCCGATGTCGATCGGAGAGGATCGGGGAGTAGCATATGTAGCAGAAGAACGTCCCTGTTATCTTCCGAGTGTCCGTCCCGAAGAGGATCCGGAAGTAGTAAAAGCAGCAGAAAGAGTTCAGATGCCAGTAGAATTGGTGATATTACAGACGACATCCTTGCGGGTACGTTGCTTCCCGTTTACATTTAATTCTATTTTGTTTCATCACCAAGTTTTCTTTAAGTCATGATACTCTTGATTTTGGTGGCATGCATTTATATGAAGATATATAAAGAAGCTGCAAATTGAGTTTCCAAATACTGGTCAGATTTTTCAGATTGTGAGATCTTAGAGGAAGAATACAGATCTGTTCTGCAGACGCAGGAACCCCGAGAACCCCGAAGGTCTAGCCTGGAAGAAAATATCGGCAAAACAGTGACACCAGCTGAAAAGAAAATGTTGTATAGAAGGAGTCACTCCTTGGCGGAGATTCGGCCCACGCACGTGTTCCTACCTGAAGGTTAGAAACAGAATATTTCTTAAAGATCAAACGTTATTAACGTTGATCATTAATGATTTATGATAAATCATTATCCTATAATTTACCCTTGTAAATTTGAAATAGGAATTTGGCAAGGGTTAGTCAGATGAAAATCAAAATATCACGAGGTTAGAAGGCATTAAAAAAGGAAATCAATTTTGTAGATTAGTCTGTATGGTAATGATACCCATTAGAACGACAAAAACATTAAATGATCCGTTGTTTTCATTAAAGTCGACATCTAGATTTTTTCCGCTCTGATTTTTCGAGCTTTGATATTGTTACACTGAGTTGTAAATCTAATGCATTTATGTCAACTTCATACCAGGAATCAGAAATATAACTTTAATATTTAATACGCTTACTACTTTATTTTTTAATAGTAGAACAAAAATAATATTCATATGAAAATATTGTAGCAAGTCTGATAATTATTTCTGTAATGCTCCAAAAATGACTGTACTCAGTATTTTGCTGATATCAAATTCCAAGTGTTGAGACTTATTTCACCGGAAGTGCGTCCAATGAAGGAAGTCGTATTTTCTCCTTGCACTTTAATTGTAAGCGTGTTCGACCCGTATGCGGCCAAATTTTATGTATTTGTATTTAGGTAATACTTGTATAATTCCAGTCACATCAAGGATTTATTGTCTTTTTATGAAGTACTTTCTGTTTATTGTAGGACGAGGTCGTACGGACGGCAGACGGATAACCTTGTCCTCCCTGGCACTAGACCACAATATGGCCACCGTCGGCCACCATTATCAACGAAAGAAGCCAAAATTCAATGTAAGTTTAAACTATGAATGAAGTTGTTACATATAAAATACAAAAGGTTCCCTTAATATATTCATAAATTAAATACTCAATTTTCTGAAATATACCTTAAAAATTAGAGAATATATTCTTGATTTAAGTTTTTTTTTTTATTTTTAAACTAATATTTATTTAGAATATATTTTTCGGATTTATCATACCGGATGCATAAATGATAGAATCTCTGCTCTAAATGCAATTTTTTTCTCTACAATTTAGTAGGTTAGAGAAGAATTAAGGTCAGACGACACGTCCCTAAATGTTATATAATTTTCCCCCAAGAATTTGTAATTGAAGATTGTTACTTTTTCGTTAGAAAAAATTGTGGTACATTACGATGAATAAGTGAATGATTGCAAAGGATGATATTCCCTATGATACCCTACTGAAATACACGAGAATTGCTGATATCACAAGTGTTGGTGTTTATAACTTTAAAACAATTTGAAAACAGTTTAGAAAAAATCAATGTTTATTAACAGAAATGGAAACAAATAACCGTGAACAGTGTCGTAAGACCTTGAAAAGAGACAGTCACCGTTTTTATTTTTGTCCCCCGCTTTCGCGAAAGCGAGGGGACATTAAATCTCATTCGTCTGTCAGTCTGTCCGTCTGTCTAGCTGTCAGTCAGTCTGTCTGTCTGTCACGAAAACTTTAATCTTGCCCATAACTTTTGATTTAGTGGAGCTATGACTTTCATATTTCACATGTGTATTCCTTGTGACAAGATCTTTCTTTGGGTACTACCAAATTTGACCTTTTGACCTTGACCTTGGAGTTTGACCCACTTTTACACAAAAATTTTAACTTTTTACTTTGGCCATAACTTTTGAACGGTAGATACTAGGACTTTCATATTTCACATATGTATTCTTTGTGGCAAGACCTTTCATAGGATACCAACAACTTTGACCTTTTGACCTGGCCCTTGGAGATTTCCGTACTTATGAAAAAACTTTTACCTTGGCCATAACTTTTGAACGGTAAGGGCTAAGGCTTTCATACTTCACATGTGTAATGCTTGTGAGAAGCTCTTTCACTGGATAATAAGAACTTTGACCTTCTGACCTTGACCTTGGAGTTTGACTTACTTTTTAAAAACTTTATCATTGGCCATAACTTTTGAATGGCAAGGGCTAGGGCTTTCATACTTCACATAATAATATGTAATTCTTGTGAAAAGACCTTTCATTGGATACCAAGAACTTTGACCCTTTGCCCTTGGAGTTTGACCTACTTATTAAAAACAAACCTTGACCATAACTTTTGAAGGGTTAGGGCTAGGGCTTTCATACTTCAAATATATAATCCTTGTGAAAAGACCTTTTATTAAATATCAAGAACTTTGACCCTCTGACCTTGGCCTTGGAGTTTGACCTACTTTTTGAAATATTTAACCTTGGCCATAACTTTTGAACGGTAAGGGCTAGGGTTTTCATACTTCACATATGTAGCACTTGTGACAAGAACTTTCTCAAGAAACCAACAACTTTGACCCTTTGACCTTGGAGTTTGACCTACCTTTCAAAAACTTATCATTGGCTATAACTTTTGAACAGATGGTGCTAGGGCTTTCATATTTCACAATCGTATTTCATGTGAGAAGACCCTTTTTGGGTACCAATATATTTAATTTGCATTTAATAAAAATTTAATTTTCCCTTTATTGCCATTTCGGGTCATCAGTGTTTCACAAACACTTCTTGCTCCTTTTGACTTTTGATTGAGAAGAGATGGGGATTTCATATTTGACATGTGCATTACCTGTGACAATATATTTCCGAGCATGCTATGATTTCTGACTCCTTGACCTTGACCTTTCACGATTGACCTTATTCTTTAAAAATTCAACTTCGGTGATTATTTCTAAATGGCATAATTATGATAGGGCTTTCATATAGGGCTCAATATGTCATTAAAAATGACATCTCACCCACAAAGACACCGAAAGCGGGGGACCACAATTTTTTGAATTTGCTTGTTTATATGAAGACAAAATCATCTTATCAGCCTTTATTTAAGTTAACACGTCAAAATGTATTTTTATGCGGTTAAAGTTGACTGAAATAGTTGATTTATTTAATATATACAAATAAACCTTGAACCAAACAATAAGGTAGTCTTTCTTTAATTAAAAAGAATATGTTGACTATGTTGTTTTAAAAACAGAAACTCCGTGATTCTGGATGAGTTCTTTATCTTCAGGAAACCTTAGTCTTTAGTTTCTCTTAGAATAATGCTTTACAGTGGTGTGATATACTTCAGCTTATTCTAGACATGCTTTCACTCGTCATGAATGATTATTGATTAACAACCGTCATTATGAAAAGAAATCTCAAGCAGAGGAAGACGGTGTTTGAAGTTTTTCCTACACAATTTGATATTTCTGATTATTGAATTGTATTCACTCCGACAGAAGAAGAACAATGTTTTTGCTTCAAATAAGAAACTCTTCTTAAAATAACGCCGAGTAATAAATACTGTAACATTACGCCAAGTAAAGTCGTTTTAGGAAGCAATTGTTTGCATTCACTTTGGAAAAATTCTACATAGTTTAGCAATAATATACTAGTATGTACGTGTATGAATTTGGTGATACTCAAATCAAGTCAGATATCATTCAACGTTCTAGAAATATTTTTAGATATATGCCGATTCAGTGATTAATAAATTCTATATATATATATATATATATATATATATATATATATATATATATATATATATATATATATATATATATATATACTCAAGTTGACGATGTTTTATTACTTATTTTGTAAATTAAAGCAATCCGTCATATTCTGCCTCCATTTGCTAACAGAGACCGAGTGGGATTGGGCTGCCAGACAAACCTGTGGTCATGCACGACTTAAACTTGGAGGAAATGGTTGTTCCTCGATTGGCGGCACCACTGCAGCCCACGGGAAAACTTAAGATCCAGTTTCAGTATTCAGAAGACAGAACTTCCTTAACAGTAATCATCATTGAGGTCTTTATATTACTATACTTATTTTACTTCCTTGTCAAAAAAAAAAACACAGTATGCAACTATACATATCTAATTCTTTATTTTTGTACTTCTACGAGGGGTGATCAAAAAGTTCGCGAACTATCTCTATACTGGTATCTACACAACCACAATTCAGATTAGAAAAAAAATTAGTACACACATTGCCATACATAAGTTCTATAAATAGCATACCCTAAAATCTTGAAAATAAGACGGATTTAATAATAAGCCGGTTTTGAAAATAAGCCACCTATTTCTTGCATTAAAAATTACTCGAAAATAAGCCAGTTTTGAAAATAAGCCGGCCTTGACAATGCCTTTAAGGAAAGATGTTAAACGTTTGACGATTTCCTCGTCTTAAAAATTTGACGAGTGAAAACTTTGACGATATTTATTTACTGTGCAAAAAAAGAGTTATCTTTCTTTATTTCATTTAACCCATACCAATTTCTGCAAACGACATAGTACGAACGAGTACGAGTAACGATGTCATAGTACGAACTAAGTCTGTAGCTACTAATAAACGTATGTACATTACCAATAAAGGGTTGTTTATAAAGTTAATTTTTTTTTACCAGTAATCATGTTACGCTGCCTAAAAAAACTTAATTGCAGAACCAGCTAAAATGGTGAATTTTTTTCATGAAATTGTCAGAACAATAATTATATCTCATGTAGACGTGTACAAGCTTACGATGTGTTTTAAGGTGGTAGTAATTAAATAAGTAAATGGATAAAAGGAAGTTTTTGTTTGAAAAGCATTTAACTGCCAGGTAATACTGCCCGAGGCAAGAAACCTGCTGATCGTCAGGGCTTGGTAGTAATTACATTTCAATGTACCGTATAATTGAGTTGTTTAAATATGTGTTTGGTTGATTATTTTATCAAGTAATTCAATTGCAAGCGGATATCTTATATATTATTTTTACTTTTTTAAAACAAATTTATATTTCATGTAAATTCATATGCTGTATACAATGAAATAAACTTTTCGGGATCGGCATTCTCAGAATATAAAGTAGACGATCCTAAAGAACGTACACCGGGAAACGCCAATGAATACAAGAGCGCTCTCTTCTCTTACCAGTTTTTTGCATTGATAATAAGCCGCAATTCGAAAATAAGCCGGTCTTGAAAATAAGCCCCCACTTTCTTACCAAAACTTAAAATAAGCCGCGGCTTATTTTCAAGATTTTAGGGTATGCTGAATAAAGCTTTGCTCCTTGTTTGTGACGTCACAATGTGAAAATGGCGTCACTATGTAGGTAACTTGTGACGAAAAATGGCTCTCTCAGTCGTACTCGTTCAACAAACGACTCATCGTCTCAAGCCACGGTCCGGAGTCCGCATATAGCTCTCTCCTCCAGAATGGGAAAGTGATCGTACATTTTGGCCGTGGTTAACGACGATGCAAACGACTGTAAAATTTGACTCTCGCATGATCAGAACGGTGCCAGATGTGCATCAAAATCGGTGAGGACTAATTTAAAATATAATCAACACTGAAACCAAAACATTGTTTCTTTTATGAAAGTTATTCAGTTAGTTCGCGAACTTTTTGATCACCCCTCGTACGTCAAAAAAAGCATTCAAACGTAATAGAAACTTCATATCTCAGACAAAAGACATATTATATATTATATAATTTAGAATTTATCTCGTCTGAATCTAATTGAAAAGTTTTTTCATATTTGTTTGTACAACATATTTAAAGTTTTTTTCTTAATTTGGCAAATATGATAAGAATTCAATTGGTATTCTCCAGGCCAAAAGACTTAGAATAGAAGGTATACCAGACGATACAGAGTTGAATCCGTATGTGAAAGCATTCCTTGTACCAGGAAAATCTTTCAAATATAGAACAAAAACAATTCCAAAAACAAAGGTTAGTTTCTGCAGATAACATATCACCACATACAAGAAAAGCAGATCAAACATTTGGGATATGTTCAATTAATTTAATTTCTCGAAATAGTAAAAAGCTTTTTTTAATCGATTTCAGAATCCTGCTTTTTTAGAGAAGTTCATAATAAATGACGTACTGCCAAGCGATATTAACGATGAAACCGTTCTTGAATTCCAAGTCTATTCCTCACATCACGTGACCAGACGTCACTTAGTGGGCGTGGCATCAATATCTTTAAGGGCAATAGAAACTTTAGAAAATGGTCTAGTGGACCTCACTATCATGCCACAAACTGTTTGCAGGGTAAGTACAAGAAAAAACATACTATTTAAAGTTGTTTCTTTTCAATTATAAACAGGGATTTAGAAATAAAACACTTACCTAATATTTTTTGTTGCAAGTCTCCTACATTGAATTCTTTAATTCAATAGAAAACAAGTAGTTCTTACTTGCTTTTTTTGTATGCTTTTTCCAGTTCTGATTGTTAACGTTATGATTTTTCAATTCTTTCCTTATCTTCAGCTACATCAAGGTGATATAAGGATATCAGGCTGTTATCAACCAGTTGCTGGTAAAATGGTTTTCAACATTTTGGAAGCAAGGAACATCCCACGTGTTTCAATACTTGGTGCTGTCAGTAAGTTATTTAACAGTCTCATAAACAGATTAAAAATCAACATTGTATTTTCAAGCCTGAATTTGTGACATCAATTTTTTTGTCAACAGATCCGTATGTAAAGATTGAAATGTACGTTAATGGAGTGAGAGAAGCAAAGGGCACCACGAAGACCCGTCAGAATACTCAGGACCCCATGTGGAACCACCAGGCAGTGTTTGAAATTAACAGAGAGAACCCTAAACTTCTGGGTCATGTTTTCTTGTGTCGTGTTTTCCACAAGGACATGATGATGGGGGTCCAGGAAATAGGACAGGTAACATTCAGTAATATTGAAGTAGACACATGTGTTCAAAGAAGTTGCGGTCAAAGAAAAAATACAGTTCTTCACTTTATTTTCGCTAGATATATATAGACAAAACTTTTATGAATGTTGCTTTTTGCTGTATACATGTCACAATTGCATATTAAAAGATTGAGGGGTAATATGAAAACCATCCCACCTATCTTTCTGTAGTCATGTATTCAGTAATTTAGAAGTGAAAAAAGAATTGGATAGATTACATGATCAGTACGTACTGGTCCTAATTGTCTTTCGTTGTAAGGCTCATTATATAAATTGCATTTTAGAAGAACTTAAATTCAACTCTACAAGTGGTAATTAATCCAACTTACAGTTCCCCTTTTCAGTCCAGTCCAATACGAAAATTCGTAATATTACGAAAAAACGTAAGATTACGAGAAAGCGTAATATTACAAGTTACCGTAATATAAAACTTATATTACAATTTTTCGTAATGTAGTTAAATTACAAATACGCGTAATATAGCTAATGTAAGAGACTATATTACGAGTTTTCGTAATCCAAGACAAATTCAAGCATTGCAAGAAATTGAATGGCGGGTAGCAAAGTATGACGTTTACTACGAGATGTCACGGGCGATAACTTGTACGACTCTTACTGAGATTTGAATTCTGTGTATTTCAATAAGAATTGCACGAACAGTTAAATTATGAGACGAGGGTGTGATTTTTACGGTAGACTTCGCAAGAAAAGTAGGGAGTTCGGGTGATATAGACCAATGTATGGGCAGCGGAAAGGGCAAAAATTACAATAACTAGATGCGATCTCGTTGCGAGCAACGAGTAGGTCTTCCGTCCGTTATCTGATGAAATAAGACCTGTGTTAGGATAATTACATTGTCTAAGAAGCACAAGAATTCTTCAAAATATGTTTCGACTTTTGGCCCCTCTGTGCCCCTAATTTGAAGGGCTAACCCCATGTACTTGACATCAAATGAAAGGTCTTACTATATTGCACATTTTTTATTATATATGTATTAACAAAATATTAACCAGTAAAAAGATATAAAAGAAAACGTATCAATGTTTGCGAGATGCGTATGAGTCAATTTTTCGAGCCCAGGCGAGCCTCGATGCCTTTTTACCTGGAATGCTCTATATGCAAAATGTCACATCTACTATCCTTTCTCTACCTTCACTGAAAATCTCAGGTTGATATCTTTACTCGTTTAGGAGGAGATCTCAGGACAAGCCGACCATCTAAAAATCAGAAAATCGTCCATATCTCACGACCGGAAGTGACGACGTACTTATTAAAAATTTCCGACAAGGTTCAAATAAATATCTATCAGATCTGAAAGTTTGGTGAAAATCGGTCCAGCCGTTTTCGAGAAATCGCGTGCACAAAATCGGTAAGAAAAAAAATAATAATAACTAGAGCCGAGCTCGTTGCAAAGCAACGAATAGGTCTTCCGTTGGAGCTACGGGTAGGAAGACGTAACCTTGAGTCTAGGTCAAGCCACATTTAAAGTTATACAAGTAAGCAACCTAAAGGCTTGTAAAGGAAGAAACTTACAATGTTTCACCATGAAAAACACTGTAAAGGAATGTATGTGACCTTGAACTTTCTAAATGACCTTGCGTCAAGCAATTTTTCGCCATGAAAAACCCTGTAAAGGAATGTATGTGAACTTGAACTTTCTAAATATGACCTTGCGTCAAGCAATGACAAACTCTGTTATAAAAATCTAATACCGTATAATCCCTATTAACCGCCCCGGGCGCTTAGAAAATTTCGAAAAGGAGGCGGTTATTTTGGTATTCTCTTCATATTAATATTTAATGTCATTCTTATACTTCAAAAATTTTAAATAACAGCTAAAATAATGTCGAACTTTACTTTAAGTGAGGATAATCCACCCAATTTATGTGATATGATTCATTTTCCACTGAGAAATTGGATAATAGACAAGTTACATTTTCACTTTGTTCAAATTTTGGCAGACTTTTGATACGATTCTAGATGATTTGAATCACTGTAGAGGGGGCCCTTGTTTTCTAATCATTGAAAAAAGACCTATCGGGCGCTTATGGGGGCAGGGGTGGTTAATAGGGATCATACGGTATGTGTATTACCGACTGGAAAAGTACACACATGTTTTTTATATATTCTTTTAGTCCATGAATCCAGCCAAAACATCTTATCTTTAGTGACCTTGAACTTGAGTCAAGGTCATGTCCCACCCTGCATTATACATGTATCAACAATGTTTCACAGGTACAAATACTGTAGCGAATTTACAGTTTCTCTGTCAGTAACCTTGACTTGTCTGAATGAATGGATATGTTCAGCCTTATTTTTTCTGAGCATATACAGTATCAAATCGGAAGAATTAATTAGGTTCAACACTATGATTTAGCTAAGGATTTAACTAGAAATATGTCTATAGGACATGAATGCATCGCCAAGTGTATATTAGTAAATAATGCAACATTAAAATCTGTATTAATGTATGACGTTTGTTGAGAATTTCTTGAATAGTTTCTTAAAAATTGAAATCTTAAAAAAATGGATATAGATTATAAAATCCCCTTCAAATAATGCATAAGCTTACATAAAAATATCTCAAATGGTTTCTTTAATACTAAGGAAAATGCAAATTAAAGAAAAGTGAGGTAAAGGTCACAGGAAAGTGCAAGGTTAAAGTGTATCAGCATACTAAAGTTTGATAAAAATGTCTTGAATTAATTCTTCAAATCTGAGCACCGCCCGTGTGGCTTAGGGGTTAGAGCATCTGTTCTAGACTAAGGTTTGGATATATCTCTCAAAAGTGTGCATATATTTTGGCCACTTTTGTACATGTAAAAATGAATACATGTAAATAATCAAACTTGCATGTACAAGCATATTCCCGTAAAATTGTGCAATTGAAATATTCTTTTCGGGTTTTTCCCTTGAGTTGGAAACGTCACTTACTGGTACACTTACAATTATTTCCATTTATAACTATCGGAGTACACGATGTATTTTTAACACCGACATGCCCGCGGCTCTCTGCGGCCACGCACGTGTGAACGAGGACTCGGGTGCAAAACTTTTTGACACAAGGCAACAGAGGTGGGTGTAAACTGTAATGACATAACTGAGGGCATTGTGGCATCGCACTTTGAAAAAAATGCATAAAACAAATTCTAGACTTATAGATGTTAATAATTTAAATTGAAAAAGGATACACCCTTAAGGTAAGCCCCAATTTTTAATGCCTATATAATGTATTTGCAAAACATTTGTGTGAACCCCCCCCCCCCCCCCGTACAGATGCCTATGCTTCACAACAATATAACTGGTATGACGTTAAAATTTTTCAATAAATTTTAGTTTACATAAAATGCATGAAAACTGTAAAAAAAAAAATAGTTCAGTAAAATAATTAAGGGAGAAAGAATTTTCAAAGTACATGTATGGAAAAATCAAAATCGCTCACTTTCATATCGTTAAGTGACCATACCATAGGGTCAAGGGTCAAATGACCACTATGTAGTGTATTTACAAGCAAGCAAAAAAGTGTGTATATTTGATATATTGTGCGAATTTTGATGATGGAAAAGATGTGGAATCGTTTTTCAACATCCTAATGGACCTAGAAATAACACCAAATGTGAATATTGCAAGGGAGGTTTGTGTTTTTTGTCTATCGATTTCCTAAGCACAAAGAACAAAGGAATATGTGTCCTCCATTTTGAATTTCAATAGTTCGATCACTCACTCACTCACCCGTTCAGTTGTGATTATTATTATGGTTTGAGTCTTTCACCACCTAAAACTGTCCTATACAGACTGTTATTTCACTAATTTATGCTTTCAATCCCAAAATGCCTAAGCAAGGTAAAAAATCACAACGTGGAGGTTTTGGACACCCCCAAAGTACCAAACCTTTTTCAAAAAGACAACGTGAAAATAGTAGTGAATATGAAGATTTTGATGATGATGATGAAGCAATAGTTGACACTTTAGTGGGTGCACTAAATAAACCCGAAATTATGTCCAAATTTGTTGAATGTATCTGCTCCTCAAAGACACTGGTAAAATCACTCATCAGTCATCTACTTCCTAGTTTGACAGAAACACTACAGAGTGTACTCGATCCTCTAAGACTATCTATAGACAATCTAACTGACCAACTAAAGAAATCAGAGGAGAGGTGTGTTGAACTAGAACTAAAAAATGACGACTTGGAGCAATATACTCGCAGACAAAATCTGAGGATATCAGGAATTGTTGAAAAAAAAGGTGAAAATACTAATGCCTTGGTTGCTGGCTTTGTCAAAGAGACAATGAACGTCGACCTAGATATGAATGACATCGATAGGAGCCACCGGGTAGGGAGACCGAACTCGAAACCCAACCGAGACATAATTGTCAGATTCACATCATGGAAGGCGCGTCACAACATCATCAAAAGATGGAAAGCAGTGCACGAATATAATATACATAATAACACCTCTTACTACGTCTTCGAAGATCTTACCAAAAACCGTGCCGCGATTTCATATCATGCTAGACAACTAAAAAAAAACAGAGAAATCGAAGACACGTGGACGGCAGATGGGAAAGTATTCGTGAAATACTATGATGACGATAAATTAAAAGTGTGTACGAGAATTAGTGACCTTAAGCCTGGTGCGCATTCTCAAACAAAAACATGCGCCAGTGCGGCCATGGAAACAGTTGGACTTTCCTCTAGGGAACAAACTGAGAGTTAATTATCAAGATGTCAGAGCCCAGTCTGACAAAACAATCCTATTCACCGGTTTAAACTTGTCTTTTGAAATCTGTGATCATAATAAACAATGTAAAACACTGCATAAATTAGACGTAGAGTATAAAATTATATGCTTACCACATGAATTTGTATAACTCCATATCCACGTGCACTTATTTTTTATGGAAAACCCCTAAGTCACGTGATATAGTTCCTTGAAAGGGAAAAACACAAGTTATTTTAAGGATAC